CTTTAGCATTCTCCGTGGAGGCTCTATATTTCTCCATCGCTTCCTTGGGAGCCCGAGCCAAAACAGAGCACAGGTTGTCTATCTCTGTTTCTTACTCGAGAGCACGAGCCTCTGAAGTTTCGAGAGACTTCTTGAAAGAAGAGATTCTTCTCTTGTACTGGTGATGCTCTTTTTTCTTCTCTTCCGTAAAAGCCTTCTTTTCTTTTGCAAGGGTCTTCAACTTCGATGATAAGTGACGACTTGACTGGAGAAGCCCAGCCTGAAGAGCCACAAGGAAACAAGAGATCAAATAACTACGGGGCATGTACAAAAGAATAGACCAACGAAAACAAAGAAGGACGATAGAAAATCTACCCTCTGAGTATAGACCATTAGAACTCTCTCAATGTCGCCAGCATTTTGCTCGGCGATCGCATGGGCACGTCCAGGTGTAACTAAGGATCTAATTACCCCTCATCTCTGAATAGCCCCGATATGTGAGGAATCTAAAGTCTGGAAGATGAGAACCCTCGCGCTAGAACAAATCAGAGATGAAAACCCTCGAGCTGTCCCCCCAACCTCATATGGTGGGATAGCTTCAAGAGGCTCATCCAAAGGTTGAGGCGCCTCCTCGATGGGATGGCGCAGTGCTCCCCCATCATTGGTCTTCTTCATTTTCAACAGAACGAAATGTGGGTTATCATCGCTCTGGCAATCGCATCCTGCCAAAAAAGTCCATGGTTTCTTCTAAATTGAACTACATCCCTACACACGTAAGGTAGAGTTTATCAAGCTTACAAAACAACGAGTCATGAGATGCACAAAAGTAAAACTATAAGCGAAACATGTTAGAACTTACCAACAGTAGGGATGAATCCCTCATCGTTCACCGGCTAGGCAAAGACCTCAACACCTCGTCTAAATCAAAATCCATATCTGTGCATAAGCAATCAAGTCCAACAAATAAAGACAAATCAAAGATATTCATGAATATAAAAATACAAGTAAAGTAAAAAGACCTACTGGTAGGACGACCGATCCCCACTAGCAACATATTCTTCATTGTCAAAATTGACCCTAGGTCGGGTACAAGGGGTGGAATTTTAGTCAGTTGTTGAATTTTTCACCTTTAGAAGAGGGGTGATCTCGATTTCACTGTTGAAAGTGCGAATTAAGGGATACTTCCAATAGGTATTGAAAGAGAATTGACCCTCATTAGATTGAACAAAGAAGATCGGGATTTCCACCTGCTGTTGGAATTTCTAAACTTGGGAAAGAGCAATGTGACCCTAATGGTAAAGTAGACAAAGGTGTTGCATTAGACTAGCTCATACATCTCAAAAACGCACCTAAAGAGGTCCATTGAGAGTGAAATTTTCTTGCTAAGGCAAACGTATAGGAAATATAATGTTTTTCTCCACACGTTGGAATTAATTTGGCTAGGAGTGAGGTGAAACTCATTAAATAACGAGATAAAGAAAGGGTGGATGGGGAATCGAAAACCACCGTCCATAATGTCTTTATATACGACGACCTCACGGGATCAGACTCGGGAAGCCTTTCTTTGTACTTAGGGGCCCTATACACATTGATCCACAAGCTCGTATTTTCTTAGTGACTTTTCTAATTTGGATGGAGAATTTTAAAGGCTATAACATTTTGGAATTTCAAGAGTCACGTCCTCGCCCGCGGCATCTCGCTCTATCTGTATATTTTGGTTTAAACTTTAAAGATTTAGTTGACCCAATGTGTTGTTTTGGGAGAATCGATTGAAAAACTTGAAGTTCGGCCGAATGTGGTGAAATGTTGGGCTCGGAACGAAATTGGCAAACCCCGCGAGGTAGACTTTCGACGAAACTTGCCTCACAGATGGACGACAATCGACCAGGAGTGCGGTCGACACCGGTCCTTCGTTAATCGGCCCATCCAACGATGGGTCGATCGACTCTCTCATCCCTTCGTTTTCACTTTCATCGAATGAGGAAGAAATGAATGTTTTATACATGACAAAAAATTAGATAAATGAAGAAAGTGAGAGGAAATTACTTTGAGAGGGGATGAGAAAGTTGAAAATTTTGATAAATGAGAAGAGGGAGTGAAATAAGAGTGCACACACCTCTTTAAATAGTGGAAGATTTTGAATTTTTGGGGGAAAATTTTCCCCCCAAAACTAAAACCCAATTGTGGAGTGCCATTTTTATAGTGTTTTGCCACTCTACGCCAATTGGACTAATCGATCCATTCACATCAAATGTCGACACACATTAAAAAAAAAAACAAAAAAAAGATTTTTTTTTATTTTTAATCAGTTATTAATTAACTAGCATGGAGAGACTACCCCTTATCGATAGACGTCGACAAAAGGTAGAAGGGCTAGTGATATAAAATGGTGTTAATAATTATTCACGATGGCCGGCTATTTGATATGCACCCCTGTAGAGCACAACATCAAATGTTGTCTACCACTATAAGGTCGTTGTCCCACACGATGCCCTCTACGTTCACATATGACGTCACCACTTTGAGGTCGTACCCACATGAGGCCCTCTACATTCACACAAGCCACCTATTACCATTCGAACAATGCTATACTTAATCGTATAAATAGCAATGAGTTGGACGGAAACCACCCAACAATGAACATTGACACAACCAACCGCTTGACTAGTGGGGGTCATCACGTTAGAACGTGGGAGAAGTAGGAAGGCTTACGTAGGACATGTAGCACAATTAATCTTAGAACGTGAGCGTTTCATCAGATCTCTATAAATATCCCCAATGTGAGAAAATGTATTTTTTTCTTGGAACTCGTATTGCTTGAAATTCAATTATACTTTCTTAATATTCTATTAAATCAAATACTAATTCTCACGCTGAAGGTACAACATGAGAGAAAACCCCAACCTTATTTTGCAGGTAGCATACACTAATCGGTTCAGCTGGAATACCATCCTCGTCAAGGTGAACACCGAAGTTTATCTCACTACCATTTCACCTTACAATACATGTTTCGTAGTAGGCCACGCTCTACTTTGCTAATAATCTGGTACGTGAATTAAGGGATCAGGAGTAAGTTACTTTAATTGTAAGAGCATCTTCAATGCGACAATGTGAATAATTGTACACATAATTGTAGGTAAGCGTACAAGTGAAAGGAAGTAGATAAAGAGCGGAGCCGGGTGAACGAAAAATCAACAATTCACCAAAATAGAATCGAAATTGAAGTTTTGAAATCATTGGTATGAGTTATATTGTGATTGATTTTGAAAGCATTGTTTGAAACCTAATCGAACTGTGATTGATTTTGAAATTTTTTTCAAACTGTTTAAAATAATTTGATTTGAAAATAGCTCAAAAATCATACAAAACACATCGCATTCAAGCCTAGGTAGAGATTAATTATATAAAAAAATGGAGTATACCTACCACACATTAAACATATATTAAAAAATTAAACGAAATATTTGACGCACCCATCGTCCATGGGTGGTATGGAGAGCGTGTTAGATATCTTTTACCATTTTTTCTAGTTGTTTAAGAGCACTTTGGGGGGGCATTGTGACACATTTTTGATACAATCCACGGCTCCATTAAAGATGCTCTAAGATATTTGAATGCCTATTAATTACCATAACGAGGTTTGGTTTGGCATGGATGTGATTTAAAGATAATTGATTTTAGCTTTAGTGAAAATAGATCGACTTGAGAGAAGTGTTTGATAAGTTTTTATTTCATAATCACTAAAAAATTTCAAATTAATGTTTGAGTATCGTACATTTTTACTAATATATACATTAATTATAATAACATTCTTGTATTATAAGAATTAAAGGCGGGTAAGTGTCTCCATTTCCAATCGTCGTCAAAAATGCTTTTTTTTTTCCCTCGCGCATCTCCTCGTCCTCTTCACGCAACACATCCCATCTTCCATTTTCGCAAGCATTTCCTCCCTTCATCTCCTCCTCCTCTTCATACAATCCATCACATCTTCAATTTTCACAAGTATTTCCCCCCTTTGTTAACGCCATTTACCTTCCACCATAGAATTCCAATTTCCATCCCAATTCCGATTCCGATTTCAAAACCCCACAAAAAATCGATTCTTCGTCGCTGTTCCTTCACATTTTACCGTAATTTTGGTGAGTACAATTCCAATTTCGCTGGAAACGTCGATTTCGATTCCATTCTAATTTTAATTTCTTGTTAATTTTACTGATGTATTTTTCTTTTTATATAATAGTTTAAAATGGTCCGGAAATGCAGAGCTGCAATGGGTGTAGGATACTTGAGTGGAGCAACAAATGTGTGTTGCGCTGTGTGTAATATCATCACTTCTTTGATGACGTTATAGAGACAAATTAGTTGGTATCACAAAGTCTAATCTTTCATGTATTCTATGGCGCAGAAAATGGATTAGTCTTTGTCAAGGATCAAATAGTAGTATTGTTTCCAATTGTTGAATATTTGGTTGTGTTATGTTATTCTTCTTTTCTTTTATCTATTTAATTAGAAATTTGATGGTTACATTTGTTATTCATTATATCTAACTCCTTTGCAGGATTTGAAATTGATTTAGGCCAATAGCATAGATGTCCTTTCTTCTGTGAGTCCTAATGGAAGAAACAATGAATGAGAAATCATTCAAAGCATGGTCATGATTTAGGCTAATAGCATAGAGCAGTGCTTGAAGGAGTACAAAGTAAAACTTGAAAAGGGTCTGAGCAGCTACGAGGTGGAAAAGCAGAAAGAGATATCTGGTTGGAACGAGCTCCAAAAAGAGAAGGGGAAGACCCTTTGGAGATTTGTTGTGGAACAATTTGATGATATGCTTGTCAAGATCCTTTTATTAGCATTATTAATATCATTAGTTCTTGCTTACTTGCATGGGAATGAAATTGGATAATCAGGGTTTGAAGCCTATGTAGAACTGTTTGTGATAGTTTTAATCTTAATCCTTAATGCCATTATAGGTGTTTGGCAAGAGAGTAATCCTGAGAAGGCACTTGAAGCTTTGAAAAGAGATGCAATGTGATTCTGGAAAAGTGCTAAGGGATGGATATTTAGTACCGGATCTGCCTGTGGGGGAGCTTGTCCCTGGTGATATTGTAGAATTGTGTATTGGAGATAAAGTACCAATGGATATGAGAGTCACGATTTTAAAAGCTTCAACCTTAAGAGTCGAGCAGAGCTCACTGACAAGGGAAACAATGCATGTGATGAATGGCACCAATGTTATTTTTATGGATTATTGTGAATTGCAGGCCAAAGAAAATATGGTTTTTGCTGGAACAACAGTTGTGAACTATAGCTGTGTTTGCATTGTTGTGAAAATTGGGATATGCACTAAAATAGGCAAGATACAAACTCAAATACATGAGGCCTCACTGCAAGAGAGTGACACCCCTTTAAAGAAAAAACTTGACGACTTTAGTAATAAGCTTACAACTGCAATTGGCCTTGTTTGCCTCACCATATGGATTATCAACTACAAATATTTTCTAACATGGGAGCTTGTAAATAGATGGCCTACAAATTTCCAGTTCTCTTTTGAAAGATGCACGTATTATTTCAAGATAGCAGTTGCCATTGCAATACCAGAAGGCCTTCTGACTGTAATAAGGACTTGATTAGGCTGGCACAAAAGAATGCAATTGTGAGGGAGCTTCCAAGCGTCAAGACCTTAGGATGTACAACTATTATTTGTTCAGATAAAACAGGGACCTTGACAACAAACCAGATGTCAGTGACAGAGTTCTTCACCTTTGAAGGTTAGACCTTGGCCTCTAGAATTTTTCATGCCTAGGGCACAACTTATAATCCTAAGGATGGAGGTATAACTGACTAGAATTGCTATAATATGGATGCCAACTTGTTAGTGGTGGCAGAAATATGTACAATCTGTAATGACGCTGGGATATCTTGTGATGGTTGTGTGCGTACGGAGACACATATGGTGTCTCCGTGCCACATGGAGAGAGGTATCTACGTGGCATGGAATTTGAATAAAATTTAAAATTATAAGCTATTGCAATCATGTTTGTATGTTAGAGAAATACTATTTATTGCAATATGTTGAGACAAAAAATAAATTCCAACCAACTTATAAATGTCTTTCATGTTTACAAATGAATCGCTCTCAAATTTACATTTATTTTTAATATTATCCAACTAACGTGCAACGCACGTTCTTCCTACTAGTAATAAATTATTAACTTCAATATTCTACTAATCAAATTATTCAAATCAAATTGGAATTGGTAACTGATATGGGCCTTTACTACCACTTCGAGCTTTGCAGTCTCGAGGAGTGGTATATACAAAATTGGTCCAAATGTCCTCGGGTATGCTATAGTCCTCGAGTAACTCGAGGATTGTAAATATGATTTACGGTAACATGGTGATGGAGTCATTGGGATGTGTCCTTGGGTTTTCATTATTATTGTATCCTCAGTCATTTTCCTTTGCCAAACTCAAAAGGTTTCCTTAGACATGAACTGATACAACATTCTAGGAATTCTAAGTTTATTCAAATACCTCAAGACTCCTACGTCCAGAAGGGGTCTATATCCCTGAGTGTCATAGACAAACTATGACTAGATCTACAGTTGTAGTACAATACTCATCTCATGAAGGATTCCTAAGGGTAAAGACATGTAGCAAACCAAGTCCTCATAGGATTGCACCACCTACTTCTATAAATATGAAACCATTGATCATTATTCAGGTACGTTTTTTACATACAATTTTCGGCACCCAAGCTTTTTGATATTATCTCTCTGATTTAAGCACCGGAGGGACGACAAGGACACACATCAACGCCTTTGTTTTAGATATCAGAAGATCATTTTTGTACTCATTCTTAGTGTAAAGGTCAAAAATCAACACTAGAGATTTTTGGTAGCATTATTGACGCCGTCTGTGGGAAGTACTACTAAAAGCTATGGTGAATACACGTTCGGATCTTCCTCCAGCAAGCTCATCTACTCCAAAACAGCCTCTTATCGGGGAGCACCTAGTCCATCAAGAAGAGTCATCAGCAATACCAGATCCTTAACCAACAATGGTTACCGTTGGAGCATTCGAAGAACTCCGTCGGCAAGTTACAATGTTGACTCAGCTACTAAGTTGAAGAAATACTCATCCGGCTCCAACACCGACAAAAGCACTTACTCTGGCTCAACCAGGTGGTTTCATTGCTAATGCTCGAGATCGGGACACCCGTGATGCCCATGACAATGGTGGATCTACGGCCCGAGCATACCCCTAGTGACCTCGGCCTCAAGATTGGTTACCATGAACTCAGGCGAACTCACTAGGATCATACAAGATGGGATTACGACTGGATTATTGCAGAATACCCAGGGAACGATAGGGTTTACCCCAACACACCATTCACGCCAGAGGTTCTTTCATATCTGCTCCCGGACAGGTTAAAATTTCCCCGCATAAAAGAGTACGATAGGACCACTAACCGCATCAACCACTTCAATGTGTACATAGACGTTATGAACCTACAGGTTGCACCAGACCCAGTAATGTGCAAGGATTTTCCTCAAATTTTGACCAATGCCGCCAGGGATTGGTTCGCCACGCTGGAGCTTAAATCTACAGCATCATTCTCTGATCTTGCCAATAAGTTCTCTGCATTTTGTAAGTAGTAATCGCATTAGGAAGACAGCAGCCATCCTTATGCAGCTCTGCCAGGGCCCAAACGAAACCTTACGTAACTTCATGACGAGATTCAACAAAAAAAGGTTATAGATACCCGACATTCACATTACAACGACTATTTCGGCTCTAACATATGCAGTAAGGTGTGAAGCCTTCAGAATGTCTTTATCGAAGACACTACTGAAGTCATTGACTGAGCTCCTCACTAAAGGAGAAAAGTACATCAACATGGAGGAGGCAATGAGAGCTAGCCCGAGCTCTGAGAAGCCCCAACTTAATAGGCCGCACGAGCCAAACTTGGCAAACAAAAATAGGAAGTACTACCAGGCTATTCACATGTTTGAATACCTACAAGACAAACATACTAATGGAGATCAGGAATATGAAAGAGCTTAAATGGCCCCTAGGTTGCGATCTCCCCTGAAGACCAGGGATAAGAGTAAATACTGTGACTACCACATGGATTATAAGCATACAACGGATGAGTGCATAACATTATAGTGGGAGATTGCGGCACTGATTTAAAGAAGATTCTTGAAGACATATATCGGCACGATAAACGTCCCAGGAATGATCACAACAAAGTGAGGACCCCAGAGTCAGGAGGAGGTAACAAACCCACAGCTGGTACAATCAACATCATAGTTGAGGGGTTAACATCAGGAGGAGATTCAAATAGTGAAAGGAAGCAACATGCTCTGCAATACAATTCAGCTCGATAGACTACTTTCTCTAACACGAAAGACATTACATTGGATCAAAGGACTTGGAAGGCATAACATCTCCTCATGACGATGCCTTAGTCATATCTTTTATAATAACTAACTTCAAAGTTAAAAGAATATTGGTGGATAATGGAAGTACAGCCAATGTATTGTCCCATGATGCCTACATGAAGATGGGTATTTCCACTAACCAGCTCAATATGGTGAAAACCCCGCTCCAAGGATTTAGGGGTGGAATAATCATCCCAGAAGGAGTTGTCGACATTCCCCTAACTTTGGGCTCAGGCCAGACGCAGGTAATGAAGATGACACATTTCCATGTATTTCGGACCTCCGTGGCATACGACGCTATCCTCGGAAGACCACTACTCAACAAGATCAGAGCCATAGTATCTACCTTTTACCTTATTATAAAGTTTCCAACCAATCATGGTATAGGGATTGTGCATGGGGATCAGACAGTAGTGAGGATGTGTTATGTTACTAGCATTCGAGATTTGAGTGCTGATATCATGCAATTATCCACACTCGAGCTCAAGCATTAGGAAAGACTTGCTCTAGTTGAAGATTTGGAAGAGGTCGATCTTGAGCAAGACAAAAAAGTGACCATTGGTCGGGATCTTGACGCGTGCTCTCAAGGATAAACTCATCAAGTGCCTATCCCACAACATTGATGTATTCGCATGGAAGGTTGAAGACATGACAGGGATAAACTCCAATATGGCATTCATAAACTTAGCGTAAGACCAGGTGCTAAGCTAGCAAACAAAGGAAGAGGCAATTTGCGCTAGAAAAAAAGGAGGTAATAGGCGTGGAGATTAATAAACTCGTCAATGCTCAGTTTATTAGGGAGGTTCAATATCTAGATTGGCTCGCCAACGTTGTCCTTGTCAAGAAGGCTAATGGTAAGTGAAAAGTGTGTATTCACTTCACAGATCTTAATAAAGCGTGTCCAAAAGACAGTTATCTCCTACCTCGGATTGATAATCTGGTGGACAATACCTTGGGTCACAAGTTGTACAGCTTTCTTAATGCATTCTCAGGTCATAACTAGATCCTTATGGCTGAAGAAGATCAAGATAAGATGTCCTTCATAGCTGACTCTACCATATATTGCTACAAAGTCATGCCATTCGGTGTGAAAAATATAGGGCCAACGTATCAAAGGCTCATTAACAAAGTCTTCATTGATTTGATCGGGAAAAACATTGAGGCCTATGTCGACGACATGGTGGTCAAGAGTAAGCAGGTGAATGAGTACATCGCCGACCTTGAGGACGTGTTCTCTACAATTCGAAGGTACAAGATAAATTTAAACACAGCAAAGTATGCTTTTGGGATGGCCTCAGGAAATTTTTGGGGCATCATGATCACACATACGGGGATTGGGGCAAATCCAGACAAGATACAAGCCTTGATATCCATGGAGTCGCCTAGGAGCAAGAAAGAAGTTCAAAAACTGACAGGCCTAGTCATGGCGGCACGAAAATTAAGGCAGTATTTTCACTCACATTCGATCGTAGTGCTCACATACCAACTACTAAGACAGCTACTCCAGAAACCTGATGTTTCGGGAAGATTGTTGAAGTGGGCAATTGAACATGGTGAATTTGATATAGAGTTCAAACCCCAATCTTCTATTAAAGGGAAAGTATTAGCGGACTTCGTTACAGAGCACACCCTGAGGCCTCGGGGGCTAGGGGATATCTAGAGCACTAAAGCGAACACCTGGGAAATATTTGTTGATGGGACATCAAACTCATTGGGCTCGGGTGCAAGGGTTATAATTACCAGTCCAGATAAGCTGACTGAAATTCTGTGTGCACTCTGATTTGAATTCTAAGCCACCAATAATGAAGCGGAGTATGAGGCTGTCTCATCGCTCTGGAACTGGCCAATAGCCTTGGAATTGAACACTTCAAGCTCTTCGATGATTTACAACTTGTGATTAGGCAGATCGAGTGATCATTTGGTAAAAAAGATGAAAGGATGAGCTTATACAATCTGAAAGTACATGATCTTCAGAGACGATTCAAGGATTGCGAAATTTTGAAAATTGCCCAAGCCAATAATGGTAATACGGAAACATTGTCTAGATTCATTTTCCCGCATGAGAATGGTGACAGAGCCAAGCATAGTCCAAGAACTCAATGTCATGACATTGATAATGAGCCCTCATGGATAGACCCCATAGTTGAATTCATAACTAATGGAAATCTCCTTGAGGATGT